CATAATTTCATATGTGGTGGAGGTATGAAAAAGTACAAAAGTTTTGGTGCAAAATATTTAATATGGTGAAAGAAATAACAGGACTAAAAATACCGTTTATACCAGAGAAAGAGGAACTAATAAAAAAATAGTTAATGTTGTTAATGTTGGCAGAAATGGATAGATTGTTTAATATTACAAGGAAAAGAACAGGAGATATATGAGAAAAGATGAGGGAAACTACATGTATGGTTGAATAATATGTGAAATAATGACTCACAAAAATATAAATGTATACATGTTAAAGGCTGTATATAATGTGAAAAAATATAAATAAACGGGGGGGAAGAAGCAGCGGGGGGGGGGGATCAAGCAGGCTTCTTACCAAAAAGGCAACTCAGAAACAATGTAAGAACTATATTAAATGTAAATGAATATTTTGAGGCGCACCCAGGGAAACAGATGGCTCTGGTTTTTTTAGATGCCGAAAAAGCCTTTGACAATGTCAGGTGGAATTTTATGTTAGAATAACTATCAGCTTGACAATGTGGAGATGAATTCTACACAATGGTTAAAGCAATTTATACTAAACAACAAGCCAAGGTATTGGTTAATGGGGATTCATCACAAAATAGTGAGATACAAAAAGGAACTAGACAAGGTTGTCCACTTTCCCCATTACTTTTTATTTTTGTGCTTGAAACATTGAATAATATGATCAGAGAGGACACACAGATTAAAGGTTTGCAAATAAGAGGAGAAGAATATAAATTACAAGCCTTTGCAAATGACTTGGTTTTTATTTTAAAAACCCATTAGACTCTGTGACCCAATTTTTGAAAACATTGCAAGAATGTGGTCAAGTGGCTGGACTGAAAATCAATTTTAATAAAACAAAGATTTTAACAAAGAATATTACTAAAGAACAAATTTCATAAACTAGAAGAGATTTCAGGCATTGTAGTCCAGAAGAAGGTTAAATATCTAGGAATAAATTTAACAAATAGATGTAGCACCCTATTACAGGACAACTATACAAAACTCTTAACAGAAATTAAGAAAGATTTGGAGAAATGGAAAGATTTGCAAATGTCTTTAATGAGAAGAATAGCCACTATAAAAATGAATATTTTACCAAAGTTGATTTTCTTATTTCAAACAATTCCAATTATTCAAAATCAACATTTCAAAGAACTTGATAAACTGATGTTACAATTTATATGGCAAAACAAGAAGCTAAGAATCAAGTTTAAAGCTTTACAAGATGCAAAAGAAAGAGCTGGATTTGCTTTGTCAGATTGGCTTTTATATTATAAAGCAGCTACACTGACTTGTGTGAGAGAATGGATTACCTTGGAAAAGATAAGACTATTAAAACTAGAAGGACATGACTTATTACTGGGTTGGCATGCATTTGCGTGGTATGACAGACAAAACACATAAATATTTCAAGCAACATATTCTTAGAAGATCACTATTGAAAATATGGGAAGAAACTAAAAAACGTTTGTATACTAAGCTTTTACAAATCCAAACTTATACCAAAAAAATTTACTGTATAGATATGAAGACCTGCTAGACAACAAAAACCAACTAAAGACAATAGAGAACCTAAAAAAAAAAAAAGATATAGATTTGAGTTGGTGGGAAAGAGCAAAACTAGAATCAAAGTATGTTAAAGATAAATGGATTTTTATGAAAAGCCAATTGAAATAGATAAAATATTGATTTATATAGATGATAAGCTTATTAAGAAATTGTATGCTATAATGTTAGAAATTAAAACCCAAGATGAAGTGTTCAAATGCTCTATGGTTCAATGGGCACAAAATTTGGGGTTATAATATTGATTTAGATCAATGGTCCAAGATATGGAAAACAAATATAAAAATTACTAAAGCAATCTCCTATAAAGAAAATATTTATAAAATGTTTTATAGATGGTATATTACGCCAGATAAGTTACCAAAATTTTACCCTAATATGTCGAATGATTGTTGGAAATGTCAAAAAAAAGTTGATTCCTTTTTTCACATGTGGCGGACTTGTGATAAAAGTAAAACATTTAGGGGTTCGACACATGAAATATTGCACAAAATCTTAAAAAGTAATATACCTTTTGTACCAGAACTACAAAATTTGGGGTTATAATATTGATTTAGATCAATGGTCCAAGATATGGAAAACAAATATAAAAATTACTAAAGCAATCTCCTATAAAGAAAATATTTATAAAATGTTTTATAGATGGTATATTACGCCAGATAAGTTACCAAAATTTTACCCTAATATGTCGAATGATTGTTGGAAATGTCAAAAAAAAGTTGATTCCTTTTTTCACATGTGGCGGACTTGTGATAAAAGTAAAACATTTAGGGGTTCGACACATGAAATATTGCACAAAATCTTAAAAAGTAATATACCTTTTGTACCAGAACTCTTTTTATTGAATATACTTCTGGAAAACTGTAAAAACCAAGATTTATCTTATTTTGCATGTAGTTACAACTGCTAGAATATTGTATGCTAAATATTGGAGAAGAAAGGAGATACCTTCAGAAGAAGAAATAATAAACTACTAGAAACTGCTGAAATTGATAAATTAACTTTAATTTTGAAAGGATATAAAGAGGAAAACCTTGAAGAAACATGGTCAAGACTTTATAATTGGATTGAAAAATATAACAAATAAAACATGAATATAACCGAAACAGAGGTCAATAAGAACATTTACAATAAAATGTGCAAAGCTATGCCTAACAATATAAGGTGTAGAAATATTCTTATATTGAGAGACGTATGGATAACATAACAGTTAATTCAAAAAGGTGGAGAGATTCTCCCCATTTAATGTTTGTTTTGTTGCTCTGTTTATGTTTGTTACAAAATAAAAAATTAATTTAAAAGGATGTATGTTTGTTTATTGCTCTAACCCTCTACATCCCACTCCCTCCAAAGGCTTGTAATGATTAATGGAGTCATAAACAGAAATTTCCTCCATGACCATTCCAGCCTCTTCTTTCCCAAAATAGGGTTGAAAATTGCGACTTGCAGCTGCTTTGCTTTGTTTGCCATGGTGTTAGCAGAAGGATGCCACTATCACGATCCAGCCTCTCACTAAAGATTGCCTCTGATCCCACATCCCTCACAAACAAACATCATTTGGTGTAGTGGTTAAGTGAGCAGACTGTAATCTTGGAGAACTGGGTTTGATTCCTCACTCCTCCACTTGCAACTGCTGGGTCAGTTACAAGTTATTTCAGAGCTGTTCTTTTACGAGCTGTTCTCGAAAGAGCTCCCTCAGCCCTACCTACCTCACAGGGTGTCTATTGTGGGGAGGGGAAGGGAGCCACTCTGAGACTCCTTTGGGTAGTGAAGAGCAGGGTATAAATCCCTCCTCTTTGTCAGGTAGCCCTTTCATGGATCTGGAATGTGGAGAGGTACCCTCCTCCTCCTCCTCCTCCTCATTCTCAGCTCTTCCCTGTCCAGCTACTGTGTGCTATCTCAGGCTTGACCTTGTAGTCTCCAGCTACATTTACTCTGCTTGGAAAGCAACGGCTTTCTGCTATGCTTGCTTGCTCGCTATTGCCGTGAGCGAGAAAAATAATCATTGGCTTTAGCTCAGTGGGGAGGATGTTTGCTTTCCCTATGTCAGAGGCCCTTATAACTGAAGGCTATTCCTGACACAAGCTGTATACGTGATCATTAGTACTGGATCCATCAATAAACAGTTATCTTCTTATGAAGCCCTGTGTGTTGTAACCTGACTAACGACCCTGACACTCTTCTTCTACTACTTTAGAAGAACTCAGAAATTGTTCCTCCCCTATCTCCTTGTAAGGCACCTTCTCTCATTCCTCTCACACAGAATCTAGGAGTTCTGCATCCTAACTCTTCTGTAACATACTAAAACTTTGACTTTGTACATGTGGAAACTGAATGAAACTTAGGTGGCTTTGGAGGTAAGAGCTTGAGGATTTGGGAGAGGAAAGTATGACACAAAAGTGCAAAAAGAAATCATATGCAAGCCAAATCGCAATAACCCACAGGACCCTGTGAAGGAGATGACTCATTTGAAAATACCTGCTATGTCAGGCTATTGCTCCCATGGAAAGCACAGTGGGTTGAGGAGAAAGATTCTAGCTTAGGGACAAACCAGCTGAGATGCCTGAAGATTTACAGTTGGATTCTCCCAGTGTTCTTAAAATGCTGATAGAAACTGCATAAGATCATGAATTGAATGGGGGCCCTGTGACCATTCAACTCTTCCTCCTATGGGATTTTGCCAAAGAAAAATGACACCATCTTTTCTTCTTGGAAGATTAAGTACAGTTAAGCCTGCTTTGCTTTCCTTGCCCCCATCCCTATTGGATCCCCACGTAACTAAGTTCATGGGGCCAAATTCTCAAGCTCTGATCATCCTGAAGGACTGTGGTTGTACAAATCTCATGGTTTTGTTTCATATATTTGGTTGTGTTGAGGTGGCGTGAGGAAGGCCCATAAGGAATCTTTACTGGGGGGTGTGGCTCTTGGTGGCCCTGCATAGTTTCTGTGATCATTTTTAAAATACCAGAAGCATCCAGTAATGGCTCTCCAACTGTCTTGTCTGTTTTGCTTTTAGTCTTTTACTTGATGTGCTGGCTTTGCATGTATAGGGAGTATTTAGCAAGGGACTACTTTCAAGTGAATGATCCCTTCCCCCACAGGCCTTGTGACTTTTCCAGGCTTTTGCAACAGATAGCTCTGAATGTTTGAATCACTGATATCAGCCTTCACGTCACAAAATGGGGATCAAGTGGTAAAGCATACTTGCCCAATCCTCTACATATATCAGGCACCAGATCAGTGTTTTGGGAAGCCCAGATGACCATTAGAGATGTCTAAGACTTTTTATATTCAGCTTACCACCATCAAACAAATTCTTCCTCTGACGTGATTCCTCCGCATATATGTGTCAGAGAGAAGTCTCATATTGATGTGCATGACTTGGGATAATTGTTTTTAATCTCATTTCTGTTCAGGGTCAAGTCACCCGTGCACAAGAGGCCGAAGAGAACTATATCATCAAGCGAGAGCTGGCAGTGGTGAGGCAGCAATGCTGTTCAGCCACAGAGAACTTGCAGAAAGCCCAGAGTATGATCCGGCAGCTGCAGGACCAGCAGGTGAAAGAGGAACATTAACAGATGAAACACTAAAGAGCAGAGGGGAGTTAAAAGAGTCACAGATTAACTAGTTTGGCTTAAGTTGGTTGCTTATTCTGAGACCAGTCTTAGCAGTCCCACACCTCTCTCCTTTTCCTCTCCTGATTTTTTTTTTAATTTCCCATTCGTTCTTCTAAGTTAGCACAGAGAAAAAGTGTATTCTTGTGTGTGATAAAAACACAAGTGATCTAGAAAAATGAAATCATTTGTGTAACTACTGGTTTGTTCCTAATGGTCAGCCCCAGCCTCACTGCAGTCTGCTTTTGAGGGCCAAACTATGTATGAACAATCTCCCCACGCTCTTTAAAACTAAAATGCTGTTATAGCAAGTGGATACAAATTTGATTAGAGCAGTGGGGTGAGCTTGTGTCTGCATGCATTCTTATTCCTTCGCCTACAAACTGTTTGAGGATCAAAGGCCCCGGTCACACGGAGAATTTGCCGCACGAGAGGCGTGAATGTCAGGTGGATTTTCGGGGCACGATCACACGGCAACATCTGGGAAGCGTAGCGCACCCGTGGCCAACCCATGGCGTCCCGCCGAAGATACAAAATTAAAAAGTACCAAGGAAAGTGCACTAGTATCCGGAAAACGCATGGCACAGTGGCATCTGATCGCGGGAGCGCTAGTATCCCGTGGCATCCGCCACCTGTCCACGTCCCGTCGCAAACCGGATTTTTTTTTGTAAGTGTATGCACACAAACATGAACTGAAAGCAGTGCTGCTCCGCAGAACTGCGCATGCACACAAACACAAAACGCTTGTGTGATTGCGCTGTGCTGCTTCTTTGCCATGCTGCAGCATCGCCGTGAGATCGCCAGCTAACAGCCTAAGCACGGAGACTCGGGGGACTGTGTGATCGAGCTACCGCGCTTTATTTTGCTCTGGGGCGAACAGCCACGTCCCCCCCCCCCCGCATTATCTGGCCCATGTGACCGGGGCCAAAATTGTTTTCTCAAACTGCTTTTCCTCTGGGGGGAAAGATGTGAGTTCTTTTGCGCCATGGGTGAGATAGTTGCTGGAAGAGGAGAGACACTTTGATTGGAAAGACCTACAGTGAACAGATTTCTCACTTCTCTCCCCGCACTGTACAGCAATTCTGCATTTTGCCAAAATAAAAGAAGATGGCAAACTGGTTGCAGTTCTCCTGCACCCCATTGAGTTTGGTCCTGACTTAAAAACTATAAAACCAATGGAGATAAAGTTGATGATGATGATAATTATATAGCATCATGAATGCGCATAGTGCTTTCACTAGATACAAGGAGATAGATAAACAAGGAAGGGGATAAAGAAGGAAGAATATGGCTTTGTTTCAGTGGGGCAGGTATGTTGTTGGCCAGTCACCCAATTTAGAGAGATCTTCCCATAACTCTGCACAATCCATTCCGAATGATTTCTGCAAGCTTGGCTACTACATTGCTCACTCACAGTTCCAAATTATTTATGAACAAATTCAATAGCACAGGTCCTATGACCAATCCTTGTGGGACCCCAGTGTTCACTTCCCTCCATTGAGAGAACTGTCAGTTTATTCCTACTCTCTGCTTTGTGCTATTTAGCCAATTTTAATCCATAAAGTGATTGAAGGAATGTATTGAGACATGAGGATACAAGATTGTGGGGGGGGGGGTGGCAAGACCATGAAGGACTTGGGAGGTAAGGATGGAGAGTTTCTGCTGGATTGAAGAGCTGACAGGAAGTCATATTTAATAAAGGATGTCGCAGGGCCAGAATGGCTAGAGAGTTGAATGAGTTTGAAGGCTAGACTATTTGGCCTGATTAACAAGGGCACTATAACAGGATACCAGAGGAGGAGGTTGCAGTATGAAAGATCATGAACCAAAATATTGACTGAAAGAGGTGGAGAAGAAGCTCCATATTTTTGTAGTGTTGTAAAGAAGTGGCATGGCTTCATGACATGGGGAGCAAAAGAGATACTGAATATAGGGAGCAGAAGAGAGAGAAGAGTCAACACGGTTCCTGCCTCTTCTGCAGGGTGGATGGTGACAATGGTAAAGAATATGGAGAGTGTAGGAGGATAGTTAGACGGTGAAAAGATGACAAGGTTATTCTTGGAAGTATGGTAATCAGAAGTCCATGCAGAAATACCAGAAAGGCAATTGGAGATGTCGACCTGGAGGGCGGGAGAAAGTTAAAGGGGAGAGAGAGCTGGATGTCATCAGCATACAGGAAGTACAGAAAGGGATTTGTTCATTATTTGGGAGAGATGGCAGCCATCTTCTGAGTCAGTGGGTTGCAGGCCAGAAAATGGACAGCAGGCAGAGCGTGAGGATGGTGGATTTCATGCAAAGCTGAAAGAAACAATTTAATGGTCAGGCAAAGGGTACTGCTCAGCAGAGGGGTCAGAGACAAAGCAGTGTTGTTGTTTCATGATTTATGGAGCAGTGAGGTGTCTGGGAGTTGTGAAATTTCCTCCTGCCTTGCAGAGCAATCCCCGCTTCTCTGAGGAATTTGTGAATCATCTGGAAACAGAGCTGGAGCAATCCCGCCTGCGAGAATCTGAGACACTGAGTGCCCTTAAGGAGATGCAGGACAAAGTGCTGGACATGGAAAAGGTAATCTGCTAAAAGGACCAGCATGAAAACTTGCTGTGTCAGTAGGATTGCCAATTCTGGGTGGGGAAACACCTGGAGATGGGGGGGTGGAGCTTGGGGAGGGCGGGGGTCTGAGGAGCAGAGGGACCTCAGCAGGGTACAATGCCATAGAGGCCACCATCCAACGTAGCCATTTTATCCAGGGGAACTGATCACAGTTGTCTGGAGATCAGTTGTAATTCTGAGAGATCTCCAGGCCCCACCTGGAGGTTGACAACCCTGTGTATTGGGAAGCAGCCAAGAGCAGCTTGGGCTACCAGGGAGAGAACTGGCTGAAGCCTCTAAAACGCTGCATTCTCTCATACAAACCTCTCTATGTTGCTAATGTCAATGAAGACAGTAAAACTGGAGTGAATATGCACACTCAAGGACAAGAGAAAGTTACAAGATTCCTTTTTCAGTAATTTTTCCTTGAGGAGTTTTTTCCCTGAATGTTCCCTATCCCAAGATTACCTCAGTATTTACTCATCTCATAGAAATTTGTTTGAAACAACCATTTTTGAGGACATGAATAAATATTGGTTTTATCATCTCAAGGTACATTTCAAAATTTACCAAGACGCCTTGTAGTGATTGTTGTTGTTTGTTGTTTCTTTAGCTTGTGGCTTATTGCTCTAAAAAACTTCATTTTACTTTTTGTAAACTCTGAGCACAGGAGTGGGCCAAAATATTCAAATCATCTTTCCAACTCCCTTCCTTCTGCAGAAGAATAGCTTGCTGCCCGATGAAAACAACGTGGCTCGTCTGCAAGAAGAACTGAAGGCCATGAATGTGCGGGAGTCTGAGGCGATGAAGTCTCTCAGGGAGCTGCAGCAGCAGGTGAAGGAGCTCAATGACAGCTGGCAGGTAATCATTGCCCACGTAGCAATATTTCATGACACTGTTAGTAAATGCGTCGATTCAGCTTTGCCATTGGCATATGGTAACCTTTCAAAACAGAAGCTGTTCCTGTAAACCATGTAGCAATCAATCTAATATTGGTACCAGGCAGAGGTCATTTCGGGGGGGATCGTGGGGGATCGCAGTTCCCCCGGGTGAGGTGCAGGGGGCGGGGCACATGACGAAGCCCCGCCCCCTGCTTCCGGCAGCCCTGCTTCCGGCCCTCATTCAGCCAGGAGGAGGCAGGAGAAGAGGGAGGGTAAGTTGCTTCCTCCCTGCCTCTCCTCACCCCTGCCTGCCTGGGGCCAGGGAGGGCCTTCGCAGGGCTTCCTTGCACTCCCGCCGGCCTTGCAGTTCCACTGCCGGGCCCCTCATGGGGCTCGGCAGTGGAGCTGCAAGGCCAGCGGCGGTGGCCGGGACCGTTGGGGGCGGGGGGTGTGGCCTTATGACACACTTCCGGTAATGTCAGGGGGTGTGGCCTTATGACACACTTCCAGTAATGTCAGGGGGTGTGGCATATGGTAATGAGTTATGCTAATGAGTTCCCCTAGCTCTTTTTCTACGAAACGACCCCTGGTACCAGGCATGCCAATGGCACAGCATGGATACTCATATGCTGGTGTGTGGACTTAGAGTGTTTGCCTTCTGCCTCCCGTGCTTTAGGCCCATTTGAGCCGGACTGGGGGGCGATGGAAGGATTCTCCTCGCAAGAACACTATGAATGACCTCCAAGATGAGCTGATGAGCCTCCATCTGCGTGAGACTCAGGCCCAGGCTGAGGTCAGAGAGTTGCGTCAGAGGGTGGTGGAGCTTGAAACCCAGGTGAGTGTCAAGCCAACTTTTAATGAGCTAAACTTCCTTAATTCGGCTATTCTTACAGCTAGAAAATGTTGTCTGAAACTCACCTCCTGCAATATGAACACATTGGCTTCTTGCCTAACCTTAAGTCACAAACAGTGCACTCCTAAACAGTTACACTCTTCTAAGTCCGTCAGTGAAGTGGAAATGTCCTGGTTATACCAGGTTCATTGTTACCGTCTCTGAGCAGCAGCACATGGAAACTGAAAGCAAAACATTCAGGGGTCATTTGAGAGTAAGACTCTCTCCCTCGCTCTAACTGTTGTTAGAGCTACCAAATGTGCTCTCAGATGAGCTAGCAGATGTTCCATGTCTGGCTTGTGCATGCCTAGTTCCTATGTGTGACTGCAGACATGCCCACTTTATTTATTTATTACTTCGATTTCTATCCAGCCCTCCCTGCAAGCGGGCTCAGGGCAGGTTACTTGATGAACAGCAGCTACAGTTAAGTGTAACCTAGCTGTTTACATACAAACAGTGAATGCAAGTGTATGGAAGGGGTGCATGTCAAAGATGTCAGGGGAAGGGGTGTTACCCACAGACGTCACCATGGAATCTCTGGCCTTGAGGTAACAGGGCTCTCTGCTTACCCTTATTTCTTGTTTCCAGGATCAGATCCATAGCAACCATCTAAATCGTATGGAACAGGAATGTGCTGGGCTGCATGAAAAGGTACAGTACCTCACTGCACAGAACAAGGGGCTGCAGACCCAGCTGAGTGAGACCAAGCGCAAGCATGCTGAATCTGAGTGTAAGGTGAGTGAGATCTGGTGCACCATTCAGCTGAGCAGTGCTGCTTCCCCTGTGGCAATGAGTGAGTCTTGCTAGACTGCTACTCAAAATCCCAAGAGTTACAAAACGCGTCCTCTTTGCAGGAAGTATTCCTTGGACCTGGCAGTGATACACTGCAGTTTGCAGATCTGCTTTTTCAGAATATGGGGGATGAAAATCCTACCCATTGTACTTCCTTGGTTTTTGTCACTGCCCTGTCTTTGCAGAGTTGTCTCTGTATGTCTCTGGGATTCCCTGGCAGCTTAGTAACTCATCATGAGTCTCACAGCATCTTTAGCCACTACAAGGAACTGCAAGAAAATAAATTGTTTTCCTGGTCCCTGCCCAGAGTTGCTGTCCATGCATGCACTCCACTGTCGCTGCCATTCATTTGGACTTTCTGTTGCAGAGTAAAGAAGAGGTGATGGCAGCGCGACTGCGAGAAGCTGACAGCATGGCTGCTGTGGCAGAGATGCGGCAGCGGATTGCTGAGCTGGAAATCCAGGTTAGCAGGACAGGAGGATAACTAGCAGTGAGTCTGCCTTGGGTCCAGAGCAGCAACTTGTCCACAGCCGAATCCCAAGAGTGTTTGGCCTTGTCCTTTGCGGCATGCTTTGTGTCTGAGCTTTGGAGCTGTGGGGACTTAGCACAACAGCCAGAAACCATGTTGCCCGTTAATCAGTCTTTCATGTAGTCATAGGGTCCATGTCTTGGAATTCTGATATAAATTGTAAACATTAATATAATAGTGCAATACTGAATGAGACTGAATTGGAATGTGCAAACTGGCATCACAGCATGAGCCCAGGGTCACCATGGCTCCTGCCAACACCTTTCTTGGGGCCCACCAAGTGTTTTTAGAAAGTGGGTGGGACCAGGTGGGGCTTTTTGGCCCCAGGAGGTCTTCTGTATGGGCCACTGGAGACCTGATTGAACATAAGAACAAAGGCCCATCCAGTCCAACACTCTGTGTCACACAGTGGCCAGAAATACCAGGTGCTATCAGGAGGTCCACCAGTGGGGCCAGGACATTAGAAGCCCTCCCACTGTTGACCCCCCCCCCCAAGCACCAAGAAGACAGAGCATCACTTGCCCCAGAGCCCCTATCTGTACCTTGTGGCTAATAGCCACTGACGGACCTCTGCTCCATATGGTTAACTAATTCCCTTTTGAAGCCGTCCATGCTTGTAGCCACCACCACTTCCTGTGGCAATGAATTCCATGAATTGGCTGTGCAGAGTTTTAAAAAGTGGCTTCAGCAGCAGCTGCCACCGCAGGCACAAGGATCTTTCACTGCGTGACTGAGGGTAAGCTGTATGTATGCAAGAAAATATTTTAAACAATGTATTCATTTAAAAAGGCATCCTGTTAAACAGCGCTTCTGCCTGAAACATTGGAAAGATACCATGAGAGTTATGTGTGACCTCATGCCCTGACATTTTGTGGCTGGCTCCGCCTCCTGCGGCAGCCATTTTGTAATTGCCCTCACCACCCTTTGTCAGAATTCCAGGTATGTTACAGATTCAAAAAAGTTGGGGACCCCTGGTCTACAGTTAAATTTCTAACTCTTCTCTACTTAATCCAGAATTAGCTCTGCCATGCACACTAATGATCAGTTGGGGCAGAAGTCAGCATTGTAAGAGACCTGGATCTGCTGCTGCTGCTGCTGCTTCATGCATCTTTGCTTTCTCTCCTTTGGTATCTCTGCTGCTATGCAATGCATGATGTGATGTCACTGAGCAGTTTGTCTCCATGCTCGTAGGCTGTATCATCAGCAAGTGGAGAAATGCATGGTGCAATAACCTCACACTGGATGAATTGTAGTAGGCATTATGAATCAGAGGAGGCAGAGAGACATGGCCTGTAAATAACCTGGGGTTCTGCCTTCAGTCAAGCTCACAAAAGAGTGGACTCAGGCCAGGAGGAAGTAGGGACTGATATTGCTATGTACAGAATTGTTATTGGTGAGGTGGGCCTCCCTGCTGAGCACTGGCGACTCCTAGGTGCGTCAGAAGCTCTGCCTTGTCCCCTCCTGCACTAGTTTTAGTACATCTTGATTGGAGGATTAAGTATTTCTAGAGTTCTCACTTCTTTCTCCCTTTTCCCCTTTGATTTGCCTACATATAGATCTCATATAAGAATCAGCACTAATAGCTTAACTTGCTTGGGTTGGGATGGTGTTCTTATTTGCACTTGTGGGGGCCTTCTCCATTCTTTAGCCTTCTTCCTGTGATCCAACAGGAAGCGCACACCATGTCATCTAGAAATTGCCTTTAAGTCCTCTATAACATCCTGTTCATTTTTACTGCTTGCCTTAGGTGAAAATCCTTCTCTGCCAAAGGAGTTTTTTTTTTTTTAAAGCTGGAAGTAACTTTAGTAGTTCAGTTGGCAGAGTTTTAAAAGCCTGGAGGAAGTTCAGGGCTTACCCACAAGGGGATTGTGCATCGGCACAGGATGCCTTTTGGTCCTTGCATTGAAGTGATACACACATTGTGGGGAAAGGTACAAGCAATTTTACACTCTCTGTACTGGCCTCACGACTCTTCCTTGTTTCTTCTCTTCTTTCATACACAGAGAGAAGAAGGGATGATTCAGGGCCAACTCAATAACTCTGACTCTTCCCAGTACATTAGAGAACTGAAGGACCAGATTGATGAACTCAAGGCAGAGGTGAGCCCAAGCTGATGAGAGAAAGGATGGAGAAATCCACGAACTGTTTCCATAGTGTAGTTCCCGATTAGCATCCGTATCAAGTCACAGCTTCTTCTTTCCGTACAGAGCCTCAAACTGAAGAGCAGACAAAACAGACTGTGGCTTACAAAATTATTTCCTTAGAAATAATTTTCAAAGTGTGAGTAAACCACTTGATTGGCATCAGTTACAGCAGCTGTCAGGGCATAACTCTGGGGAAATTCTCAGATTCTCACTGCCAGTTTTGCCCCACAGAGATAATTTTAATGTACAAAGTGATGAAAGGCAAATGGTTTCAGATACCCCATGCCTATGTGGTCCAGGAAATACCTCTGACCCTATTCTAAAAGTAGCTGTTTTTCGTACACCACGTACAAATCTCTCTTGTCTAAAGAGTGAGGCTGCTTCAGCTTTGGATTTTTGCACATGTGCCCAGCTCTTGCCAACCCTAGGGGAGGAGGATGCTGTTCAGTTACACACACACACACAGACACACACACACACACACACTTGCTGCTGTTCAGCTGAAGTGCATGTTATTGTACCTTTTGTTCTAACACATGCAGCCCCTCTTCAGTCATCTGTCTGGAAGAGATATCTGTTATCCCTTATTCACTGCTCATAGTTATTCCAATGCAGACAGGGCATTTTTTTACACAAGACACT